ATACATGTAAGATGAAATAAAACATTTTTCAGCTTACTTCTTGGAAGTAACGATCATAATCAACCTCTTTCATAAACTTGTCTGTGACATCACACGCCACAACCTTGCCATCAGATGGCAGAGCCATGGCCATACTTAGTGTATTATAACCAGTGAAAGTACCTGAAAGAAAGGAAAATATGAAAGATTTCAACTAAATTACAAGTTGAATTTGTTATAACAACTTATTAGTTTTGCTTCACCCAGGTTGTTCTTAGTTTCCAAATACCTGCACCTAATAGGTATAAACTTAAGAGACATTTCAACTTATAACTGAGCCTCACTTAAGCCTTTTCACTGGGAGCTAGGAGAGCAGTTAAATAAGTCATGTTTCATCTCAAGGTCCAAATCCTTACCTCTTTACATACTATAGGCAACTATTGGATGAGGTTAAGCATGATATCATGAATTATTAATGCCAAGTTCTGAGACACAAGGTTTGATAATACATGATATCATGCAAAAAACAACTTTGCTAATAGCTTTATGATATATTTTTTTTATCAATTGGCCAAAGAAGACACTCCTCCATGACTGAGTTTGCAAATGTTTGAGAACACTAAAGGCACTAAGGGCTTAGAAACTAGGCAGAGTATGAACTATACATGATAAAACTATATCTGTTGCAGATTTTGGGTAATCATGTCAACTTCATACATTGTTTTATATTGACTGTAGGCTCTCAATCAAACAGAGTTTTCATTGTAAATCTAATGAATAATAATTAATTTTATCCCTAGTCTTCTTCCCTCCACCAAAGCCATTGCACCAAATCCCAATTCAAAGCTTATGGGGATTAACTGTTTTCCTTTCATCAACTGATTGGCATCACCCACCAAAGAAAAAGTTGACCCATTTCCATTATCAATATAAACTACTGACCTCTAAGGGATATGTCAACTGACTACTGGTGAATATATATTAAGAAAGGCTATGTGCAAAGGAAAGTTTTAAGTTCACATTCCACTTTTAGATATCCAACACTACTTGACAGTGTTATCATCTACCATTATTCCAATAAAATTCAAATGAAAAGAAAAATGAGATTAGTAGACTAATAAATGTCTTTTTAAATGTCCATCTCACCTATTTCGATAACCTTTTTGGCCTTAATCAATTCTATAAGCAACCTCATAAGCTGAGCTTCATCAGAACTACAAAGCATGTCACCTAATGGAAGCTTCAGAGTTGCCTGCAAAGATAGATATACGAACATACATGAAATGCACATGAATAACTATGAACTCTAACATTACTGTTGTATTCCCAGTGAT